ACGACACTTTTTATTTGTGCGACTTACATGTGTTATATTATAATAATTTTTTAACTTACAACATATAACTACATTAAACATAATATATGAATTGAGAAATAATTTTATTTTTCTAATGAATCTTAATAAATATTATTATTTTTTATTATTATAAAGATAAATATAATTTGTTTATTTCATATATATATACAATATGGACGTCAAATCGAAGATCATCAAAAGATGATTAATTTGATATATTATATATGCAAAACCAATAAGAAATACAAAAGTTATCAACTTTTAAAATACATTTTCAATTCAATAGCTAATTGAAGGAAACAAATCAAAAGTCAGGAATATATTAGTCACTTAGTGTCCCACTATGTAAAATTACAAAGAATTAAATGGTTATATTAGTACAAGTGATATTAAAATACCTAAGTTAGCTAAATAATATTTATAGAATGTCCGAACCTAGGTTATTAATTATTAATATACCAATATTATTTGTCCAAATCTAATTACAAAGCATGATTATTCGCCAAATAGGATTCTGAAGCACAAAAAACAACCACGTAGGTTCAACGCATTCGAGAATTATATATAGGGGGGATTATTATTTACCTAAACACTAGGGCTGAGCATGGGACTCGGAGAATTCCGAACCGTTCCGAAAACCAAACCGAAATCACTCCGAACCGAAAATATCCGTTGACCATTTGACTTTCTCCGAACCGAACCGAAAAAATAATTGGTACGGTTCTGGAGATTTCACAAATATCTGTACCGAGAACCGAACCGTCCCATACCGTACCGAACCGAAGAACCAAAATTAAGAACTGAATTATAACATTAGATGTGTTATTAATATATTTTATGTCACCTTTGATCCTATATAATATAGTAATAATAACTATTAACTTTCACTTAACTTTCATGCTTATTAATACTTGATCTACAATTGATTTTTTTCTATTATAAAATAATTATTTAAAATAATATGAAAGGTTAAAGAATATTTTTTAGACATAAATATTATATTTTGTTTGAATTTTAAATTTTTAATATTAGTGCACAATTGCGTCTTAACTAAAATTTAGAGTTACTTCTAAAGTTGATTTCAAAATATTTTTTTAATATGAGGAAGTATTGATGAATGTTGGTTTTATTAAATTATATAAAAATTAAATAACTAAAATTTAGAGTTACTTCTAAAATTGATTTCAAAATAAAATCTTCAATATGATGAATTATTGATGAATGTTTTTTTTAAAGCATGTAAAAATTAAAATATAACTAGGTAGTCATTCAAAAAAAATCTAAAAAAATAAGAAATCTCCGAAAATCCGAACCAAACCATATCGTCCCATTAGTCCCGTATACCGAATCGAAAAATAAAAATCTCCGAACCAAACTGAACCGACTTTTCGGTACGGTTCTGGAGATCAAGTTTTGGGATCTCCAAACTTTAGTACGGTTCCAAAAATTTAACAATTTTCGAACCGTACCGACACACGTTCACCCACTAAACCACACTAAGTACTTGAGAAAAACTTCCTTTCCGGAATGTTGACGTGGTTCGCCAAACACCCACTAAAACACTGTTTTGCTCAAAACAAGTTCCACCGTCCGATTCTCATTGTCGGCGGCGTAGTCACCAACACAGAACCGAGGACCGACGACGATCTAAAGTCCACGCGTCTCACTGCTATTGGTCCTTGCCCCATTTCAATTATTTCATCCCAATACACCCTTCTCTCCTTTTTTCCCGATTCAGTAAAAATCTCAACAGAATTGATTGGGAAACCAGGGATCAGATTCTCCTGGATTTTCTCTATCGTCAAATTCGAGTTCTTGGGGGGTTCATTGTCGTAATTTTTGGAAAATTTTACGCCGGCGACGAGGCGTGGACCTCCGAGCAGTTGCCTTTTGTTCCCGATTTGTCTCCGGCGAGGGTTCTTTTGTTGTGGACTGGGGTTCGGAGAGATGGTTAGTTCTTCTGTGGAAAGGGCCACGAGCGATATGCTTATCGGTCCAGATTGGGCTATGAATATCGAGATCTGTGACATGTGCAACCGTGATCCTGCGTAATCTTTTCACTACTTGTTTTTTCTTTCGCACTTGTGTTGTTTAGTTGGTGTAATTGTTGCAGAACTGAATTGAAAGAGATGAACTTTGTAGTGTAGGTTTTGGTTTAGCAGTTGCCTGGGCTTTCCTTCCACCGGCCATTCTTCCGTCCTTTTTTTTTAGTTTTTGTTCTTGTGAAGTTCTTTTGGTTGTTATGCGATGGTGTGGATTTATGGATTTATAATTGCTTCTTTTATTCTTCGTAATTCGGATGGAAACATGAATTTTTTTTGCTTATGGAATTGATTGAGTGACCATCTAGCTGTTTATATGCGATCATTATTGTACCTTTATGTTAAACTTGTGAATTTCAGCGGGTGCTGATCCATATGTGAATTGTTTTGTACCTGAGACTTACTTCGAACTGCCGCTTTGAGTCGAACTACTGCTTTGAGGTTATATTTTGCAAATTTGATTAAACGTGTATCTCTGTCAATTTGATATCTTACATGATGTGGAATTCTGTGCTAAATGCTGTATTGCTGTTCAATGAATGAACCGGATTTTCTGAAAGATATGCTACCGTGTATTGTCTGAATCACTAGAATATACTTTTTAATGTTGCTTTAGCGTTGGACATACTGATGTACCCTTTCAGTTCATTTTTTTTTTTTTTTTCTTGCTAGATGAATGCTTACACTGCTCACTTGTTCAATAAGTTTAATGTGCTACTATTAGAAGCTCTTTGTATTATATTTTAGAGCAGTAGTGTCTCTTTGAGGTATACTCAGTTTTTCACATTTTGATTGCATCAGACAAGCAAAAGATGTTATAAGAGGTATAAAGAAGCGGCTTGGTAGCAAAAATCCAAAAGTCCAGCTTCTTGCCTTGACGGTAAGCTTAATTTCATTTCTCAACACGGTCGCTATGTGTCATATACCACAAGATTGGGCATCCTTATAATTGTGGTCACTACTGTGCACTGTGCAGATGACATTTGTTGGTGCTAATAGTTGTATATGATAGATCATTTTTCTAGGACAAACTTAAGTTGACGTACTATTTTCTAGGAAAAATTTTAAAACTTGATGTCATCTCCCAACTTATCAACTTGTCATTGTAATCCATATTTTGGGTGTGCAAACATGAAATTCAAGTTTTGTTTTCAGATTTGGGTGCACTTGATTTTGTCTATGAAATAGAGACTGTTCAAGAAGGGCTTACTTGATTTATCTTATTATTTTGAAATGCAAACTTGGTGGAGCAATAGTATCCATGAATATTTTGGCGTAGATTTTTTAGACCGATGGCGAAAAATAGAACGTGTGTTTGTATCTTATTTAAGCAACATTAAGCATGTTGTCAAATTGAATGTAAGAATGAAAAGATGTGCTAGAATGAGTTATCTGCCCTTAATACGTCTATTATCCTCTATCCTGTAGGGTCACATTTCCTTGTATATTACTTAATTAATTTGAAATGGAATGCATGAATGTCTTGGAAAAATTGTTTTCTTTGAATCCTCTTTAATTATTGTTTCTCTAGAAGAGGTGGCATTTCCTTGTAATTAAGGGCAACTTTAAGTCACTAAGTCAATGAAAACAATTGTGCACGTTATAGCTACTGGAGACTGTTGTGAAGAACTGTGGTGATATTGTTCATATGCATGTTGCTGAGAAAGATTTACCCCATGAGATGGTGAAAATTGTGAGAAAGAAGGTAACTAAATTTATAATTATTGTGTAGTTTATTTGTATTTTTTCTTCATTTTTTGCATCCACTTTTGGTGTCTCAAAAATTTGTTGCTGCAGCCAGACTTTCAAGTAAAAGAGAAGATATTGATTCTAATAGATACTTGGCAAGAAGCTTTTGGAGGACCAAGGGCAAGATATCCCCAGTATTTTGTGGCATATCAGGATCTATTGGTACGTGATCTTAGGATTTTCTCATATTATTTAATTATATTCTTGATGCCCATATGGAATGTAGCTTATGGCGTACACTTTTGCGGTTGTTCCATCAGCGTCTTGGTGCAGTTTTTCCTCAGAGATCTGAGAGGTCTGCACCTGTTTTCACACCACCACAAACACATCCATTGACATCTTATCCACCTAATCTTCGTAATACTGAATCTGGACCTGATGTTGCTGAATCTTCTGCAGAAGCTGAGTTTCCAACATTAAGGTGCACTACTCTTCATTAAGGATAGACTTCCTTTTTTCTTCGTCACATAGTTTAATTGCACTTGGCGAATGTGTATATTACTAGAAATACATAGTTCAATTGCACTTAGCGATGTGTATATTACTAGAAATATGAACACGCAATTTTCCACATTATTATATTATATGTGGTAAAACCTGAGTTTTGTGGTCTTCAGATTAACTTTTGCTTTCACCCTCTGTGGCTTCGTTTTATTGGGAAAGATGCATGAAAAAAATATAAAGCTATGAATTAATCTTTTGGCCTCAATGGATTTTAGGTTGTGTTAAGTTATTGAGCAATGCAGGCAGAGAAACCGCACTGACACATTGCAAAATAGTGTTTTATTGATATGGTGAATGAAGATCTGAGGGTCATGACCTGATGACAGTTATAACTAGTGGCTTCTGTCATGGTGGGCACATTTTATTGTGTATAATGATACATCTATTATCAGGAGAAATTTTTATTGTCCAGTGAAATATGTGTTGGATGCCCTGTAATAATAAGGTTATGATGTTTTAAGAAGCTTTGTGTTGAATTTGATATCTGTATGTGCATTACATGTGAAGAAGGCATGAATTCTTTGTTCTTGTGATATATTATTACTGGAACGTTGCCTTTTGCATTTGGTAGCTATGAAATTTGAAGGTGCTTGGTAGCTATGAAATTTGAACGTGCATGATATCTTGCCCTGATAAGTATAACTATACTTCTATTTGGAGATTTTTATTGATTTGCACACCTTGGTTCTGGTTGCTACTTATTTTGTCAGCTTGACAGAACTTCAAAATGCTCGTGGTATCATGGATGTTCTTGCTGAAATGCTGAATGCATTGGATCCTAGCAACAAAGAGGTATATTATATGTACTGAACTACTTTTAGCAGCAGCCTGGCAGTCATTTCTGCTTGAATGGTATTTTGCATCAATAGTGGATCATTTCTCGGTTTTGCATTATGGAATTGACTATTAATTTTCTGTACTGGAATATTTCGTGTTTCAAGGCAGACTTGAACTCACACTCATCTTTATGGATGTATATGATACTTGAAAGTGCAATTAAGCATCACCAAATTATTCTGCAAAATATTGTTTGTACTAGATATCGGATGTCAACCTTGTTTGTTATATGTTGCAGGGACTTAAGCAGGATGTCATCGTTGATCTAGTGGAACAGTGTCGTAATTACAAGCAAAGAGTGGTGCACCTTGTTAACTCGACGTCGTAAGGCCTTTACTTACCCTGTTATGTATCAGGTGTATTTAGGGTGTGATTGGACATGGATTTGATTGGTTTTTTTGTTAACCATAGTTAATTTTGAAAAAGGTGGTATGATTAGTTGTTAATGGGAATATAAGTTTAAATTAAAATAATATATAAAATAAAATAATTAAAGTTGATTTGAAGTAAATGTAGGAGAGAGATGATGTGAAGTGATGGTTAGTCAAAATTATGTGAGTGAATGAATCGTGAATTAAAGTTGATGCGATGTGTAAGAATGATTGATTGATATTATTTAATCATCTTGATAATATTGATGACAGTGGAGTTGGGTTAAAGATGAATTAAATTTTTTTTGATTGATTTTTTTTTTTTTTGGTTAAGTTTATTTTCTATCACACCCTTATTGTCACAAGAATTAGGACTTGTCCATGTTCCAAATTTGCTAGTTTGGCATAGACTATATTCTTGTTGCAAATTTTTTAATGACCTCAAAATAGAATTACCTGATTAATAATCAAGGATATTCCTCATATAGCAGAGGCAATTTGTATTAATTGCCATTGCTGTGCCATCTGCTCGTGTTTATTACGCAACTAGCAGCTTCTATTTTACCTAATGTGATCCTTATGTAGTTAAGATTATTATATTTGTTTGAAAACTCATGTTCTAGTCCACAGTTTGGGGAAGAAAATTTGAAATTGGAGTAGTCTCTCTCCTTAAAGGTCATGCTATGCTTGGTTGACGCGGGATTCGTTTTTTGGAAGGTGTAGTTTAGCTCAACTGCGTATGATTGTGTTCCAGTTTTACTGACTTGATTCTGAATTACATCTGTATTAATGATGTGAACATTAACTAGATTCTGTCCCACAAGTACTTAAGCAATCCTGTATCGTTGAATTGGAGAGTTATTGAATGAGATATTCTGTCCTTATCTGTATTGCAATCTGGTATCATTAATTTTGATTCAGATACAATTGCATTTTAACTTTTGAAACACCTGCTTCTCGATGTAGGGATGAATCGTTATTATGCCAAGGGCTAGCACTGAATGATGACTTGCAACGTTTACTGGCTAAGCACGAGTCAATTGCTTCTGGAGCTATCTCTGCTCAGTTGGAGAAGCCAAAATCTGTAGTAGAGAAGCCAAATTCAGAACCTTCTAAAGCTTTGGTCCTTGTTGATGCCCCTCTTATCGATACAGGCGATACCACTCAAGACTTACAGTAATTATGATTCTACTTTTCAAGTTTGATAAAATAGATCCAATACTGGATTGCCCTCTTTGTTTTGTGTTGCTCCTGAGTATTCATTCATCCACATAAATATATTTAATTGGTGCCTATTAACTACAAATTGCTTAAGGTTTGTTCAAGGAGTTTTCTGCATGTAGCCTTGGAGCTGGTATATTGGGAAACTGAAAAAAAAAAATAAAAAAAAAAATATGCTTTCTAATTTCATTATCTTCCTTAATGTGGTATTAGTATCATATGTGACTGTAACGATAACAAAAGGAAATGTCCCATTTATTTGCTTGATTATAATTTTTAGAAGGAATAATATATTGTCCACTCGGATTTGAGAATGATGCAATCACATTTTCTTTCATTGACCAATCATTTTTGCTCTAGGCGACATTTGGTGTGTGTGTTTTATGCATGTCTTGAAAATAATGAGGCAGTATGCATTTGCAGGTCATCATCCAACACTAGCTTAGGGAGTCAACTATCCCTCACTGCTCCCCGGGCTAATAACGGTCAGCCGACAACTCCAGAGAAAGCCGACCCAAAAATAGACCTTTTGAGTGGAGATGACTTCAATTCGCCCACGGCAAACTCTCTGGCTCTTGTCCCCGTGAGCCAACCTCAGACGGCGAGCCCCATTGCGTCACAGCAGAATGCGCTTGCTCTTGTCGACATGTTCTCAGGAAGTAATAACAGCCAGCCTCTGAATCCCATTGGGCAAGCCTATCCTTCCTCTCCCCAATTCCAGCAGCAAACGAATTTACAGTCTCCACAGACTTCTTTCTACCCCAACGGCGCCGTATCTGGTCCCATGGTAGCTCAACAGGATCAACCGCTCTACTCACAAGGCTCTGGTTCTGCATGGAGTGGCCAGATGGCCCAGCAACAGCAGCCTCCTTCACCCATTTATGGTGCACTTTTACTTTCTTTTTTATATATATTTTTCTTATATATATTTATTTTCTTTGTTTTGTTTTTTTTGTGGGCGATATTTTCAGTTTGATGGCTTTTGGATTATAAGGATTTGAGAAGGGATTCAGTGGTAGGGTGACTCGTCAAACCCTAATGTGTGTTGGCTAAAAACCTCAAATTGATTGATTTCAAATACGTACCCAATCTTTCTGTCTATTCTATCGATAGGTAATGGAATAGACCATAAGGTGTTTGGGAGAGAAGTGTCCATAGTTGGGTAGGTAGGAGGTTAGGGTGCCTTTTTTCCTTTGTTCATACGTCGTTCATAAATTTCAGTCTAGGGGTTGGATAAGATTTCATGCAATTTAGTAAACAGAATCGAAATTCCATCTCGTTCGTTGGGTGAGGGTGAAGGCTTGGGTAAGCGGTACGTACCCAATCTTTCTGTCTATTCTAGTTTATTTTAGGTGGATTTGATATCCATCCTAGAACTTGGGTCATTTTGAAATCTCTTTTTGTTATTTTATATCTCCGCCACGCATCTCACAAAACCCTATGTACATGTTACATCCACATACAAACACAATGCACACATTTGTGCATTTGTACAAAGTTTTTTTTTTAATTATTTTTTTTATCATTATTCTTGGTGCCCTGACAATTGTGAATAAGATTTGCATTTCATCTGAATCTTCACAAACCCAGATCATACCAAACAATTTGCATTGGAAAGGGTTTGATAACATGTGACCCTCTGTCTTTTGGTAGGTACTCAAAACAGTGCCTTTCCCCCTCCACCATGGGAAGCTCAACTGGATGATAGCAGCAGCCTTGCCAGCCAGCCTCCACAAATGCAAGCTGTAAACCCAACAGGCCCATCACCGAGTGCCACATATCCCCCTGTCGGCAACAATCAGGTCATCGGCCCATACAACGGCCACCTCCCCGCTAGTAATCAAATGTCGGGCCCAGGCCCAAACCCAAACCCCATGGTCATCTATCCTCAGCCAATGCAATCCGGACAGATGATGGGTTACACGTATCCTCAGCAGATGTATGGAAACCAGATGGCCGGTTACGGATATGGTTATGGCTATGGCTATGGCCCACAGCAAAATGTACAGTTCATCCAGCAAGGCATGTCTGGTCTATCTATGAGGGACGATAGCGGGCTCAGAGGTTCTTTGTACTCATCGTCGAGTGTGCGGCCATCCAAGCCCGAGGACAAGCTGTTTGGGGACTTGGTTGACTTGTCTAAGTTCAAACAAGGAAAAACTACACCAGGTAGAGCTGGGAGCATGTGAGGAGGGAGGATGGATATTTGGGCTTGGATTTAGATTCTGACATTTGTTATTTTCTTTGCTAACTTGGTTGACTTTTATGTTTTAAATATTTTGGGTTTTCCATGTCGTATAAGTTTTCAGCCCCTTTTCCCCTTTTTAGCTGATTTGTCTTGCCTGGAACTGTTTTATCCTTTCTTTAATGTTTGGTTTTGTTTTTATTTGTTTTAGTGCTTTTGTTTTTTGTCTCATTAGAAACATATGTATATTTTGTGTAGAAAGTAAAAATCCGGTATGAAAGAGGGAACTTTTCATGTTTGTTTCAGAGGGTGTGACTTGTGAGGGAATAAGGCATTGCTATAGCTGTTGTATTGCAATGATAAAGGTTATGTTTGGTATAATTTTTATTCGACTGAGAGCGTCTGCACTGTTGCGCTAGAAACGCCACTCTCTCTTTTGTGGCGTGCGCTAGAAACGCCACTCTCTCTTTTGTGGCGTAAATATTAACTCCAGCGCTACTCTAGATATCTGCGCTACTCCACACATACCTATAGTTGGTATGAAATTTTTTTGTTGATAAGGCATCCGAATGCATTTAGAATGCTATATTGGGCATCATTGACAACATATACTGAGATTGATTCATGTTCATTAAATTTGATGATGGATGAAAAAGGTTGCTCTCAAGTCCGTGAAATTGGATAAGAAGACATTGGTGTGGGTACTTAAAAATGAAAATTTTGGAATTGGATTTGTAGTTGCATTTTAGGAAATTGAGTAAATTGTATATTTCGTGTATAACGTGAATTTACGGAAGACGAGACGGAATGTCATCCTCTGATGAGTTCGACATATTTAAGTTGAATCTGTATGGATTGTAATTCATTATAACTTCAGATAAATATAAGATAGAGGTGTATGATTTTTTTTTTATTTTAGTATATTTATTTTGTGATGAAAGTGTAATGCATAATATCATAGCAAACAACTTAATTTATAGGCATTTCGTATTGCAAGTTGATATATTAAAAAAAAGAAAAGAAAAAAGACCTTTAAAAACCTTCTACAAAAGATGATGGTCATAATTGTATATGTGACAACCATTCAATGAATGACAGATGCAAGTTGACAAATGAATGTGGAAAACCTTCTACAAAAGATTATGGTGATGTATTTGTGGGCACACCATTCAATGAATGACATGCAAGTTGACAAATGAATGTTTGACAAATGCAATCAAATAAGATGGTCAGCTTTTATTTTTAATGTGTGACGATACAATATTTTACTACATTTAAATTAATAAAAAATACTTTAAAAGTATTAGTAAGATCAAAATTATGTTTAGGCACACATTTCAAAATAACATCATATTTTGTTTTTTGGTGTTTGACAACACAATCTTTATATTCAAATTTTACTTTTATATCATTAAAAAATATAAAAAATAAAAGTAAAAAATCAAAATAAAATATTAGCTTGAAGGTAAACTACAATTATTTAGATAAATTCATTTATAAATTTCATTTTACCTCTTTCTTTTACGAGCAAATTTTGTTGTAAATTGTTCTTGTTCGAAAATACCTCATTTTCAATTGATATTTTTCGACAACAATTGCAACTCGTTTTTATTCAATTAATTGTTTTTGTGCTTTTTTATGCTGTCAAGTAATTCCATTTTTTTTTTTAAATAAACAACCTCGTTTTACTTCCTTCTTTTACGAGCAAAGATTGTTTAGTGTTCGTTCTTTCTTGTTTGGAAATACCTCGTTTTTAATTTTTTTTTCGACAACAATTGAAATTCGTCCTTATTTCAACTAATCGCTTTCATTTTTTTTTAGCTGTCAAAGAACTCATTTTTTTTTTTAAGAAAACAAACAACCCCATTTTATTAATATTTCTAAATTGAAAAATATTTTTAAAAGCTTAAATTATTTTAATAAGAAATTTGAATTTATTAGAGTAAGAGTAAATCATTTTAAACAACTCATAAAGGTTTATTAAAACTTGAAACCGTCAACAAAGTAAAAATAAAAGATATAACAACATAGCATCTTTTTATTTATGAATTGTTGCAAATATTAGTTTTATTTCAAGTTTTTGAAAGGAAAAAAAGTAAATTACAAAAAACTATAAGAATATAAAATTATAGAAAGTCCAAAAAAAAAAAAAGAAAAATAGATAAAAAAGTGGGGGACATCCACACATGAGATGGGCTCTTTATTTAAAGGGGATGGTCAAACTATATATTTATTTAAAGAGAATTTCTAAGATGTTAATTGGACAAATAACCCTCACATTAAGTAATGGTAAATAAAAATATAAAATACCTAAAATGACCTTTTGTTAAAAAAAAAAAAGAAAAAAAAAATGAAGATATGAAACGTCCAGCGGACGCAAGAGCAAACGGAAATATTTTTTCAATTCTTCTCATCTGTCTTTCTTCTTCTCTTCATTTTGTAAGAAATTGACATCATTTTTAATTTTATAAGTCAAAAGAAATGTGTTGATTGTAGATGAAAAAAAATCCCACCAAGGTATTTTCTTGGAGAACAAGAAAAGTGGAAAGAAATTTTTGTAGTAGGGTTTCTTGTTATTTTAATTATAGAATCATTTTAGTTCATATTTTATGATTAATAAACATTTTTGTTTCATGTTAATAATGTTTATGTTGTGCCAATAATTTTTAATTTTTTTCATTCATTTTGTTGATTAATAAAGGAACGATTGTGCAGTAGTTCTAGGTGGCTGATAACGATTGTATATTTGTTATATGTTTAATATTTTGTAAGGAATGCAATTTTGTGGTGTGATTGTTTTATAACGATTCTGCAGCTGTTTTATCTTGAAAGGAATGCAAATATGTGTGATTGTTTTGTTGTGAATGTTTTATAACGAACTTAGATTTGTTTTATACAAGTGTATGTTTGTTAGTTTCATTTCTTAATATGATATAACGAATTTAGATTGATTATGCCTTACGTAATGTAGATGCTCATTATGTCATATGAGAAGACATATATTTATATTGTCGAAGTAACAAATAATTTTTTCTGGTAGATATTGATTTTAACGAAGATGGTGTGGATACAAGTATGCTACTATGTTGATTTTAAAAAGAATGTAGATGGCACTTGGACGTGGGGATATGTGAAGGAAGATGAAGA